ATATATATTTCATAGTTATCCACATGCTTACAGTACACAAGTCTAGAAAATATATGAAATATTTTCAATTTCTCCTTGAGTATTGCAAGGGAGAGTGATCTATCAGATCATCAGAAAAAAGTATCCTCTTCTAGCATTCCTAGATTTATTTATTCTTCTTCTGTTTAGTAATAAAAGCTTAGGACCCAGAGGCCATCAGACCAGGCATTCTGCACAAGCAAGATGTGCAAACTTTAACCGGCCAACTCAGAAGAATGTTTAAAATCAGACAATCTAGAGAGTTCCTAAGATACTAGGGGACAGGAAGGAGTGAAATTTACTATGCAGATTTGCAAGCACAGGAGCAACCATCTAAAGCAGGAGTCAACAAACTATAGTCCACAAGCCGAATCCAATGTGCCGCTTGTTTTTGTGTGGTTCAAGAGCTCAGAATGATTTTTAGATTTTAAATAGTTGAAAAAATCGAAAGAAAAATAGTATTTAATGGCATGTGAAAATTAAATAAAATTCAAATTTCAGTGTCCATAAAGTTTTACTGGAATATAGCCACACCCATTAGTTTACGTATTGTCTAGGGCTGCTTTCACGCTACAAAGGCAAATTGAGTAGTCAAGTCAGAGACCATATGGCCCACAAAGACTAAAATATTTACTACCTGGCCCTTTACAGAAAAAGTTTGCCAACCCCTAATCTAGAGTCTGGCTATTACATTTAAAAAAAAAAAAAACAGAGACAGATAAAAGATAAGAGGTTTATCTCTAGGACTTTGTGAAAAGATCTTCTTTAGGACTCGTGCAATCAGGATCAGTTAACTCTGTGGCCAGAGATACCCCATTAAGGTTCTGTTGAAGCTGCAACAGATCCTCCCAGCAGTTAACTTGCCTCTGGGAAATGTTACTCGAAAAGTCAGGGAGTGAAGAGGACACTGCTATGCACCAAAAACTCTCTGCAAGACTCCAAACAAGAAGTAACATTCAATTCCACATGAGTTGAGGTGGGAAAGAGTGGATTTAAAGGACAGAAAAGAGTTCAATGAGGGTTCACTTACATTTCTTCCCTCACAAAAACCTGGGGCAAGAGAGAGAATCAAAGCCATACTTATATAAAATTTGCCAAGGATACTAAATTGGGACATATTGTAAACATCAGTGAGGATAGTGTAATTCTTTGAGTTCAGAATGTAAACTACAGTTTCAATTTTATGATGCGTACCAAACAGCACTCCATGTGTACAAAACAAATGGATGTACAATCTCCAATGTTTTACTAGAAAATGTCTAAAAAATAGTAAATTCCTGAGCACATAATGCACATGATGAATTAATTAACCCTCTTTGAAACATGATGAGATAGAGATGGGGGTTCACATCCTGGTTTTCCAGATGAGAAAAGGGAAAAGAAAGGAAGCTATCCAGTCGTGGTCACAATGCCAGGGGAAGAGGAAATCTCCGAGTCCTGGGTTTTAACCCTGTCCATCCACCATGCACTCTGTCAGCAAGCTCTATCCCCATCTGAAGATTGACTTTTAAAAGAATGGGAGCTAGAATTCGCCATCTGCTAGGAAGGCAAAACCAAAAGTGCATACAGGTATAAATGTAGGTATGTTTGTTGAAATAACAGTGATGATGTTTATAATTTGTAGAATTGTCACAAAAAGTATAAGCTGGAAGGGAATTTTAAAAATATCTAGTTTAACTCCCTTATTTTACAGACAGGAAAAACTGAAGTCCAAGGGAGAAGTTTCTTATCCAAGGCCACAAAACTAAAACCCTTTTGAGTCCCTACCCCTGTGTATGGGCATCACCTTCCTTTGACTACCTGGCCTTTTAGATAGCATCCAATATGTCTTCCCCTTTCACCTCCCTGCTCATCCCCACCAACTCCACCAGCTAGCTGATTCTCCTCATGCCTGTTTCTAACCCACAGACCATCCCTCCAACGCACACACACAAACACATTCTTTCACTAAGTTTCCATCAATCAGATTTTAGTGATTTTTATCCCCATGGCCTAGTACCACTATTTTTTATCTCAAAATATGCACATCCTTCTGTGACTAGCCTCACCCTTACCCCAAACTCCAAGTATTACTGACAATGAGAAAACGTGGGGTTCGCTCCTCTTCTTCCTCCACAACAGGAAAACCTAGTTAGATTACAATCAACTCTTTGCTGAGCTTTGCACTAGTGACAGCATGAAACCCTCATGCTTTATGAACTACCAAAGCTAGAAACGGATTTCTGTCTGATGTGCCAGGCTTCTAAGTCTTATACATGTGCTAGTCCAGAGATTTCTGAAACCATGAGTAAAGTGGTAATCAACACTGTGAATACTCAGTCTTAGTTAACTGACGACGACAAACAAACGACGAAGAGAAAGATCTGTGGTCCCACTCTCCCCAAGACAGGTGGAATTTCAAGTTTCAACAAGGCAGATTCAGAACCATCTTCAGAAAGGCCATTAGGGTGATAAAGACACATTGTAAAATTGGCAAAAAACACAAATCAATAAATGTTGTCTGTGGGTAATAAGACAACCTCCTGCCTTCAAATAGAGATAATGATGGCAGTAAACTCCAGCCACCAAGCTTTGCAGGGACGAGGAGAAAGAAAACACCAATATTTTTTTTTTTGCTTTGTTTTGTGGGTTTTTTTTAAACCACTTTTTCCTGTGCCTCAAAGGGCTTAGGACTGGAACCTGGGGTCCATGTTGCAAAGGAACCAAGGAGCTCCACAGCTTTGAAAGGAATCCATTGGTGATTTTTCATATTTCAAGCAGTCAAGGGCATTTGGCCCTGTGAGCTTACAGAAGCTCATTTTTCTCAAAGAAAATATTACCAAGCTTCCCTAACTTAAGTGGTTCTAGGGTCTGAAGCATTTTGAGACCTTGCTGGATTTTTAAGTGTTTTATAAATTGAGGGATTATCCCTCCCCCCTCCTCTTTTTCTTCTTCTCAAATAGCCCAAGATCCGTGTCATACATAGCAGAGCTCCTCCCAGGCAGCCCTGCCAGCTGCCCTTTTGCCTTCCTTCATCCTTTAGCACTAACTTCTGCAGAAAGCTCCCATGTGGAATACATTATGACAGCAAAATCTTCCCTTTCACAATATGGTTGATCATTTCCCCCGTTTTCCAAAAACAACAATATCGTGACCCAGATCTGTAAAACCCAGAGGCAGCACCAAATACAATCTAATCTATCTGACTACTGAATTCGTTTGTTCGCTTGCTTACTTGAACTTTTTACCCATCTGATATGGCTGCTATTACTGTGGTGTCTGTCTGGGCTTACTACACACTACTACTTCTACTTACTTAAACACTAGCTCTAGATGGGTGCTCTGGTTCATTCTCTGCTCTATTAACAGGGCCTACTGGATGACAGGTCATGGGGAAGAGGCAGGTTCTCACTGGGGAAGTTGGGGTGGTCTGCAGTCTTTGGAGCTGCTCCTCATTTCCTTTTCTGACAGCCATCCTTCTGTAAGTACTCTTAAGAAAGGAAAGCATTGCTCTTTGTGTCTCTTTCCAAACTGCCTAGGCCTAAGCACTGGGGCCCTGGACCTCATACTAGCCCAGCATAAGCAGTAGCAATGGGCTACTTGGTGTTATGAGTGGAACATGCAGCATGTTTTTGGTAATACTAAACGCTAGCTGTCTCCTTATTGCTTTGGGGACTGGAAGAAAACAACAGCTTTCCATTTTATAGGTATTCCTGCCATCTGGTCAAAATGATGAAAATACAGTCATCGTTCCAATCAGCTATCAATGGGGAGACCAGTCAAAGGGCACCCACTTTCTACCTTATCTCTAGATGCCAAGAACCATCTGGTGCTTCTGCTGTCCTCTGATGGGTGTCACAACATTCCTGGTGAAAGGTGTGGCCTACATACCTGCCATTTTTAAGACTGTCCTCAGTGTTTATAGCCCTTACATAAGGAAAGGCTGTCTGTTTTGGTTCTGACTTGGAAATCAACACTTCTAGGCCACTGAGAGGGAAAGAATAGGTCTTGGCAGGAAGTTCTTCCTTTGTGGAAAGTGGGGGCAGGAATGGATACTGGTGTTTAGCAACTGGGTCTGCTCCCAGAGCAGAATGTCTCATCTAGAAGCTGCTCATCAGTGTCCCCTTGAGAAGGAAGCCTTTAGTACAGGATGGGGAGTGAAGTGGATGAACAGGAGGATTAAGCCCAGGCTGACTGGTAAGGAAGGAAGTACTAGTGTATATAGGAGGTCTGGAAATGGGTGTTCCTGCCTTAGGATGTAGGTTGAGCACCTCTGGGGGCTGAGCAGACATGAATTGTTCTAAACTAAATAAGACTAAGGAGCCAAGGTTTGAGCCCACTTAGCCAAATATAAGTTGCAAGTTAGCTTGGGATTCTAGACCAATGGGCGGGCACTGAGGGAAGGTTTCTGGAGAAGAGAATAAAAGTATTTCATCAATCTGAGTCCTTATCTACCTAGGAGCTATTAATGCAAAGAGGCCCCAAGGAGGCAGCAATAGGAGGGAGCAGGTGCATAGACTGATGGTCCACTAAACAGCAAGAACGCTTCCTTTCTAGGGCCGAGGCCAGGAAGCCTTCGCTAAGGAACAGTCTCGTATTCACCACAGAGAACAGGCTGGGGACTCAGTTGGGGTTTCTCCACTTCTAACCTCTCTTATAAGGACAATTTTTTCTCTCACTAGGCAGCAGAGTGGAACACAAGCAGGGAGGAAATTAAATCTTTTCAAATCATTAATTTTTCTTTCATTCCTAGGACATACCAAGCTCCAAGCACCAGCTGGGACCACCTTCATTGCCTACATTACCTGTACTACCAAGGCTCCCAAAGCCAGGGGAGCAGCAACTATGAAAACTTGCTTCTTTAGGCTCTTATGTTCTTTGAGAGGGCCCCACCAGTGACCTTGTCTGTGAGATGATAAAATCCTGGGCCCTGGAAGACTGGTGTCTCTCCCTAGAAGATAAAGGAGAAAGAGAAATAGAAGTGAGTGTGCAAGACCCATTACCTTCAGCAGCTCTTTTAAAGAAGACTTTGCAGCTTCCACAAGTGAGAGCTCCATAGTGACAGCCAGAAGCTTCATCCCCACAGATCAGGCAGGTCTTCTGGGGTGGAAAGTAATAGTCGATGGGCAGAACATGATCCCTGGCAGTCTCCAAACTGGAAAGACGCAAAAGAAACAATGCAACACGTCAGTGGTTGCCAGAAATAGGAGAGTAGAAGTCTGAGATCTTTAGGAATAAACTGCATGTGTAAATTTTTATTATTCATTGCTTAATCAAGTCAGTGTGAGGATAAATTTTCCTGGGACCTCTCCTATGAATGATTGTAGGGTTTCCTGTCATGTGGACGGAGCTTTTTTGGATCCTGCTAAGGGATTAGAGAAGTTCTCTGGGATCAGCCAATCTCATGAGCTATGTCTACATGACAGAAGAATTAAGGCAGAAACCTGAGGTTAGGGTATCTAACTTAAGGTGGTGGTCAGACAACAATTTCAGAGCCCTATGACCTTACCTTATCCAAAGGGAGACCTATGAACAAAACAGACTAAACATCAAAGCAGTTTGATTGCTTTGCTCTAGTTCTCTGAGCCTCACTCTCATCTGTAAATAGGAATAATATCAGCTATCCTACTGAGCTACTGTTGTGAATGGCAGTATAAATTAGAAAAAAAGGATAAAAAGCCCTTGAAATGAATACACAAGTGAGGGATCATGATTAGTATTATCACACCAGTCTTCTTTGGTCTTTTTTTTCCCATTCCCTCACTTTCCTTAGGAGTCTCTTCAGATCACATGGACATCCCCCCATCCTCGTTCTAAAACATAAAGTACCAGAATTCCTTTCCGCCTGAGGCTCTGGTTGAGAAATGATGCACAGTGACGCTGGAAACCTCTCAGGCTACCATCTCAACACTTGGCCATTAAAATACTCACAGGTTCCCTGGGCTAGGATGGAGCTTCAGTGGTCACCTAGTCTAACTGCCTATCTCCAAGATCTGTGTCTGAGTCCTTCCAGGCAGATGTGAAAGAGAGGGCCAGAAAGCCAATCATAAAACTTTAAAGGAAGGGTAATTCTCAGTCACCTATAGCAATTAATTCAAGTTTAAACAAATGGAACATGATTCTTACTACTCAAAGGTCAACTATTTTCTCTCCCATGTCCTATTTCTAAGCATTAGACAAACTTAAGCTATCTATCTCCTGGGTTAATCTACCTCAGGTAGATAACAATTGCCCATGCTTTCATCTACAGGAATTCAGCCACTATTTTTTATGAGTACGTCTTCCTTACTAGGAAAGGAAGGAAAATAAGCCCTAATGGCACCTTGTTTGCTGTGATGGGTGATTTCAGAACAAGTCTGTGAGACAATTTTTTTTCACATTACTATAGAAGATGAAGAAAATCAGACCCAGAGAGGAGAAGCCCAGGACTATTTGACACCAAGCCCAGGACTATCTGACTCCAAATCCAACACAGTTTCTATTACCCTATCATCTTCCTGCCACTCACCTTCACTTTCTACTCCTGGTTCTTTGGTTATCATGCTCAGCACAGTCATCAGAATCCAAAAAAAAGCATGAAAGGTTATCCTCACCTCTACTCCCAGTGAGCAGTCCTGGTAGGACAAGAGCAAAGAAACCTTTCACTCAGGTTACACTTGACAAGCACTTTATCTCTAAGACACAAATATTAGCATTTATTCAAGTCCCAAGTACAACAGAAAGCACTCAAAAAGTTCCGCGGGTATGCAATCCCAGCAGCTGGCTATGGTGGCCCATCTTTTCTCCCCACAAGCCTTCCCTTTCCTACCTTAACTGGAAAGCCAGCAGGAGTCCTCCCACCAAAGCAAGACTAGCAGAACCATAAGTTCCACAGGAAAAGAGCTCACTTCTAATATACAAATGGGCCAAATGCTAAGAATGTCATTCCTTTGGCTAAAAATCTCATTTCCTTAGGTAAAAATCGTGCCCCCATCCTTATTCAAGAAACAAGGAGAAAAAGAAGTTTTTTTTGCAAGTGTCTTCATCCTCTTCCCACTTTTTTTTTACTTCTGTAACTAATACAAACAGTTCAAATAAAATCAGAAGAATATGTATTTAGGCACTCTATGTGCCAGGCTATTTCATATATATCATCTCATGTAGTCTTCCCAACAACCCTGCCAGATAGCTCTGTATCATCCTTATATTGTAGAAGAGGAAACTGATGCTTAGGAAAACTAAATAAACTTGTTTCAGATCACTCATCTAGTCAGTAAAAATGCCAGGATTCCATCCTAGGTAAGTCTGACTCCAAAGTGTGGATTTGTAACCAATGACTAAACATGTTATGAGATTGACGGTTGAAATTAGAAATCTATCTAAATTGACTAAACTCAACTCCTAGCACGTAGCCCTATGGACCAGGCACAAGACTAGGTACTGGAAATACAGTGATGAACAAGATATTATCCTTGCCTCTAATCAACTTATTATCTATTAGAGAAGAAAGACAGAAAGCAAGGAACTGTAAAATAACATAGTAGATGATATAATAAAGCACAGTGCAGATTGCTACAGATGAGGAGGCACATAAAAGAAATGTTTTTTGAAAGGCATAAAGGTATATATAGGTAAAAGAGATGATGATGAGGACAACAATTATTATTATATGATTGCAAAATAAATATTGGATAAACAAAATGGAAACCCGCATAAAGTAAATAAGAGATCTTTTTGGATAGTGCCTTTAAGAAATAGAAATTTTCATCCATACTAAAATTAAAAATACAGTTCAAATTGTTTAAAAGATTCTAATCAATCACATTTATAATCAATACTTAAAGACTGAAGAAAGTCATTCACATTTTGTTTATTAGATATGTTTAATAAAACATGACTTGCACAAAAATAACTATAAAGGAAGAGCAAGAGGACGAAAAATAATGAAGACGATTTCAGAATCTGAATTTTTCTTAACTATAACCCGCTTTGACTAGAGGCCTGAGATATCTCCTGAATCACTAGGCCAGTCTCCGCCTACCTTCTCCCCTCCTCTCTCTGACAGTATTTTGGACAGCACTCTTACTGACCCTGGCCTAGTGCAGACAAAGGGCACACTGCCGGTCTGACTCATGGTCTGACCTTTGGGCACTGGAAATGAAAATTCCAACTGCAGTCCCTCTCTCAGGTTAATATCCCAGAGAAACTTGCACATTTGTACCAGGAGGCATGTGCAGGAATGGTCATAGCAGCTTTGCTTATAAAAGCAGAAATGATAAACATCCACTGACAGGACAAATGATAAATAAATTATGGCACACTCATTCAATAAAATACAATTCAGCTATGACAAGGAACATAATACAGTGACACATAGGTGAATCTCACAAGCTAATGTTACATAAAAGACATAACTCATAATAGCATACGTATGATATGATTCCACTACATTAAGTTCAAAAAGAAGCAAAAGTAAACAACATGTAATTCAGGAATATATATATGTTATATGAAAAAACATGAAAATTCAAGAGAATAAATAAACCCAAAATATAGGATAGTGGTTACCACTGAGAGGAGGCTGGGGGTAATGATATAAGGAAGGATACAAGTTGATTTAGGCATTCATTTAAAAATATTTATTAAGCACCTACTACACACTAGGCACCATTCTGGGTCCTGGGGTTAGAGCAGTGAACAAAAAAATTTCGTTAATGTTCTTGTTCTTTAATCAGGGCTCATGAGTGTTCATTTTATTATTATGCTGTATAACTGACTTATATGTTACATATATTGTTTTGTATGGCTCTAACAGCATATAAATAAAAGAAAAACCTCAGAAGTTTCTAACATCCTCCTAAATAACATCCTAACTGCAAGTACAGCAGAGGTCTGCTTTGAGAACAAGTACGTGCAGAATTTGCAAGCAACATTGTGTTTCTTCCCTCCTCCCTTGGGTTACACAGCTCACTTATTATTCTAATGCAGGGCATTCAGTTTTATGAGTCTGAAGCAAAAGCACTGCTCATAGAATGGAAGTTTTCCAAACCAGTACAAACTTGCTATCCTCCAACAGTTTCACAATTAATTAAATAAAAGCGAACTACTAGAAGATATAGGCCTACAAACACCAGCTCAACCATGGGGAAGTTGGACTCAGATACACTCAGCACCCAGCTATAATCCAGCTGTAATCTCAGTCTGTCTGTCTGTCTGTCTCTCTCTCTCTTTCAGACTTGGGGATACCTTAAAGGGTGTGACTAATTTAAGCAAGTCCCCCAATGATCGTGGAACCAGGGAAAAATGCAAAAGTCACAGACCAGTTTTCCTTGATGGGAGACGAATGTCAACTCAGCAGGGCTTTGGAGCCAGCCAGACCTGGGTTGGAATCCTGCCTCCACCACTGAAACTTGGGCCGTCATTAAGGCTCTCTGAGCTCCATTTGCTTCATCTGGAGAGTGGGGATACTTTCTACCCCAGAGGGCTTTTGTGAGAATTACATTAAATAACACTTTAAGCCCCTCCCTCTGTGCCTGCCACATGGTAGCTGCTTTGTCAGTCTGGGTTGCCTTCACCTTTTGTCTTATCATATAAAAAGTGAAACATCTAATATCTTTAAAACAAACAAACAAAAAACATCTAATATCTTTACATCCTTGGCTATACAGTGCTTTTGGGGAAAGGTAAATACAAGTGGAGAGAATAGGATAAAAAGGTTAGATGTGTAAAAGCATATCTTGTTCATACATACCTCTGTACTTTTCAAACAAGAAGGGATTTAGCAAATCACCAAACATCTTTACATAGCATCATATTTTTCCCGATGTTTCATAATTTAAAATATTTTTTTTATTAATCACATTGTGGAATATAATGACAGCTCCATATGAATTTTTAAGATAAAAATCAGAGTTCAAAATTATTCTCTCCTCATAGATCCATTGTGCTTACTTCTTTGGGGGTACAAGGGATATTTCAGTAGAGAAATTGGTAAAGTAATGGCATAAAACCAGTGGCTTCTTTTCCCCCTGCCAGTCTGAGATTTGAAATTTGATGACTGTCTGTCCAAGAGGACAGTCACATTTTCTTTTAAAAGTATTACCTCACTTTACTTCAGGGCTCTCCAATTCTCTTTAATGATGCCTTTTGTTGAAGTAGGAAGATATATATGTACAA